CTGTGGAACCCAGGGCCGAAGCACCCGTCGACGACAGTGCTGGTCTACCGCCATGGGATCTAATGCCCGCCCTCTGGATCCAACGGAAGTGGAACGCCGGCTGGGCCTGTAGACGGTGCCTCGCGCACATCTGGAACGTGGCCCCAGGTGCGCTCGACTGCATCCTCGACCAGCAGTTCTCGCGCATCTACCCCACGGCACCAGCCGAGCGGGAGGCGACGGCGGAGGTGGTAGTTGAGCGCCGCGACATCGCCGTCTAGTTACTTCGCCCCAGGTTGCGCCAACGCCGCAGCTCCAGACGCCTGCGCAAAACCAGCTACCCCGACCGAAGGGTCGCCCCTTCCCATTGGCACCAGCCAGTCCAACCCCGACGATGAGGGGATCGGTCAAGGTGCCGGGGCTCGGGACATCAAGTCCCTGTTCCCCGACATTCCCCCGCCCTCGGGGCCCGCCTTGCCAGCCCACTTCGCCTCCGAGCTCTCAGGGCAGGTTTCTCATAGCGCCGTGCGCTCATTGGTCAAGTTCCTGCTAGAGTGGAACTTGCGAGGGGTGGGTGGACTACCTAGCGGAATACCTCGTCGGAATCACGGGCGTGAAGACCCGCGAGGTGTCTTGGCCCCCTCAACGTCTGCGCCTCTTCCTGGTCAGCGTCTACGGAGAGACGACCCCGGACAGGTGCCATCCCCCAGGCATCCCATGGGGCAGCCAACGGGCGGCAGCGGCGCGGGCGGTTTCCCACCTGACGCGGGCCAACGTGATGCATGCGAGCAAATGGCAGGCATGCGCAGCCAACCTGGATGAGCAACGAGGCCTCTGCCCTCTCCGCCACAGGCTCAGCACCCTACTGCAATGCCTCGTTGACATGGGCCCCGCGACCCTCGCCGACGGCACCATCAACTCACTGGCGAAGCTGGACCCAGTGCAGACCGCAGCCGCGGCAAACTCTACAGCGGCATACTGGCTGAACAGACCCAGCGATGCAGCAAACGCCCCCCGATCAGACAGCCGGGTTCGGGAACAGGAGACACTTCCGGGTCGCCCCCCCCCGGATGGATTACGATGCGCCCGGCAACGAAGGGGCCAGGGGCCAGCCCGCGGACGTGCAGGGCTGGTGCGGACAGGTATGCAAGACCGAGGGCGAGCACGATGCGCCCGACTGGGGGGGCGACCCATGAGCCGCAGCAGCCGCAACCAAGGAATCGAGCCCGAACGCGAGCCCAGACCCTGCTGCCGACGAGGGCGAAGGAACAGACCCCCTCGACCCCCTAGGTGCATTCGCGGAAGCGCCTCCAAGCGGCAAGCCCTGGACCCCCTATTCGCAGACCGTTGGCCAAGTTGCCGCCCTGGAGCTCCAGAGTGCCACAGACTGCGCCGGAAGGGGGAGCGCGCCATCCTGGGGTCGCACGGGGGCCAGGACGGACCGCGCGCCCAACCGCGCTTCATGGGGCCGAGGACGCGACCGTCCCGCCTCTGAAGATGTCGAAGACGGGAGAGGGTGCGCCGCCAAGTCACCAAGGGGTAGCCTCATGCGCACGGGGGCCCGCTGGGCGCCCTGGAAGGACAGCAGGGTTGCCCAGCCATACTACGAGAACTTTAACGACCCCATGGGTGGCGGCCCATGTGCAGATGCACTATTGCAGCCGCAGACGTGGAAAGGGACGAACCCATCCAGGACATAATTACACGCCTGCAAAAGATATTGAGAGGCTCCTTCGACGCTATCTGGCATGCGTGGGCTAAGCGGGCTGCCCTGAGTCAGGACTTCAAGGGGGGCTAGGAGAGCAATCCCAAACTCAACGCACCCACGACGTCCGCGGACTTCCTGGAAGCATGGGCCAACGCTGGCTACGACGCATATTGGATGGATCGAGAACTCCGACTCGGCGTAGACTGGGTCGCAGTTCGGGACAAGCACGTGAACTCCGCGCGGCGCGACGCTCACACACACGCGCCCCGCGCGAGCACGGCAGCCGCGGCAAACCAACTCCCTGGACTGCCGAGAGCCGAACGGCCACGCGTGCAGCAGCACAGGGCCCCTGGGCTGGAGCCATTGGAACTGCCACCCCCAGCCAGTGGCGGGGCTGGCAAGAGCGGCCCTCGTGGGAGCGGCGAGATGCCCCATGGACGGAATCCGATTGGAAAGGCAGGGGCAAACGATACTCCCCACGAGGGGGCGACCGCGACTCTGACAAGCGGGCCCGCTGGTGGGCCAAGTGTGATTCCGACGCCCAAGGTTGACGTGCCCCCGACGCGGCCTACCTCGGCGCCCAGATACAGGGACCTGCCCAGAGTGGACACCTGGCCCCCCCACCTCCAGCCACCCGCAGCCCTGAAGGGGGGGGCTTGTTTCACCTTGCTGCGCCCGGCTCAGGCCGCAATGCCCGGGGCCACCCTCCGCTGGGGCGAAGGCTCGCCCCCGCACCTCGCCCGCTGCGCAGCCTAGCGAGACGGCCCGCGCTAGATAAGTGGGCCACCCGCCACCTTTTCGGGCCTGCCACTGGGGGGCTCCCACTTGCGCCCGACATCTCACCCTCACTGGCCCTGCGGGGCCCGCTTGGCTCACGCCAGCAGGCCCCCCAGGCTCCCAGACTTTGTTGTCCGATGACGACAGCCGGCTCGCGGGCCCTGGGCGGGGGGTGGGCCCCAGCACCCCCCCGCCTGCCTGGTCGCGAGCTCGACCTAGCTAGGTCTCAGTTTTGTTGCACCGCAGGCGCCCGAAAATCGGCGGCGGTTAGCTGCGACCCTGGAGGAGCCAACGCGCACTGCCCCCGCAGAGGTTCTGGCGTCCGCGTTGGCAGACCAGCCTTCAGCATGGCAGGTTGCCCACTATGGACCACGCCAACATCGGACAAAATATCTACCATTCGGTACTACTTGCACTTCAGCGGCGGTTAGCTGCGACCCTGGAGGATCCTCGAGAATGGCGGCCGTGTCTCTTGGACAAGCATACCTGGGGCCGGTTCGAGGGGCGGTGATGATCTTCCCCGTCGCCTCTCCCCTCGGGTCCCTCTCGGGCCGGGCGGGCGCGCCCCCCGCCCTCGGCCTTCGGGGCTTGGTTCCTTGCGCTTCCCTCGCAGGGCGCCCCCGCGGTGCCCCTTCTGCGGGGGTGGTCAGCCGCGTCTTCTGTCGCGTCTCCCCACCGACCCCCCCTCCGGGCCCCCTTCTGGCCGCGCTTCGCCCGGCGTGTCGGCTGGCCTCGATGGCTTCGCCCCCCCCCCAGGGCCGCCCCCGGCCCCCGCTGTCCGCGGCAGCGTCTTCTCTCCTTCAGCGGCGGTTAGCTGCGACCCTGGAGGCCCACGTGGCATGGTGGATTGACGGCGACCCTGGACTGCGGACGCGGCGGACAAGGCCGCCCCATGGTGGCCTGCGGCGCCACGCGGCTGCGACAGCGAAGCTGCGCCCCGGACGCCCCGCCCCGCTGGCAATGGTCTTCCCGCCAGCTTGGCCTTATGCCGCGCGCGGCCCCTGGAGGTACAGTCAGCTCCGAGCGGTTCAGCCTTCGCAGTCTCGGCCGCCCAGAACCCCCGCTGACAGCGGTAACCTTACCTCGCCTTCAGCGGCGGTTAGCTGCGACCCTGGACGCTCGCGTGGAATGACGGATTCGACGGAGACCTTGGTTCCCTGCGGGGAATGACGGATTCGGCGGATAAGGCAGTCCCACGGTGGCCTTCGGCACACAACAGGCGGCAGCTGTCGTGCCCTCAGTGCAGCCCCTCCCTGGATCCCCCTGCATCGCTGGCGATGCTCGCCACGCCTGCCTGACTTTCTCCTACAGTCCATCTGGCGTCGGCCCCGTGCCGTTGTTGGAGGGGCCGGCCCGCTGACGTCCGGGCCTCCCTCGGGCACTGGATGATGGCCCCTTGGGTACTGTGGTCGCACCAGAGTGGTTTAGCCTTCTGCAGTCGCAACAGCACCCCGGGCCCATCCCCCCCTCAGGCAGGTTTGCGACGTCCTTCGGCAGCTCAGCCCTCCTAGCCCGCACATGCCGTTGGGACGGCCCTGGGCCTGGCGCCCCACTGGCGACTCGCCCACGATCGGTCTTCGCGCCTGCGCGCTCACCCAGCCTGATGGACACGTCTGCACCAGTGCACGTCAACGTCGTCTGTGTGGGTCATGCCTCGCGGCATGCACCGAATTTCTCGGCATTTTGTCAGACTGCACGTGCCTGAGCTTCCCTGGATGCATCCAGCTGTCAGCCTCCCGCACAGCCCCGCTGCTGCTTGGTGAATGGGCCGGCCGGCTTGCGGCGCGTCTTGTAGCTAATTAGCCTTGTTCGCAGCCCGGGACAATTGCTTTCGCCGCCTGCGCTCTTCGCTAGCGGCCGCGACCAAAAAAGTAACCCTCCAACCCATCAAGAAACGATGTCCAGGGAAGCTGGCTGGACGACGGGCGTAGGTGAACATATCAGCAAGGAGGCCAACACTTGTGAAATTCCTCCTTTCCTCTCCTCTCCTCTTCTCTCCCCTCCCCTCTCCTCTCCTCTCCTCTCCTCTCCTCTCCTCTCCTCTCCTCTCCCCTCCCTTCCTCTCCTCCCTTCTCCCCTCCCTTCCTCTCCCTTCCTCCTCTCCTCTCCTCTCCTCCCTCCTCCTCTCCTCTCCTCTCCTCTCCTCTCCCTCCTCTCTCTCTCTCTCCCCTCCTCGCCTCTGTTCTCTTCTCTTTTCCTCTCCTCCCATCCCCCTTTCCTCTCCTCTCCTCTCCTCTCCCCCTCCCCTCCCCTCCCCTCCTCTCCCCCCTCCTCCTCTCCCTCCTCCCCCCCCGTCCTCTCCTCTCCCTCCCCCTTTCTCTCCCCTCCCCTTCTCTCCCTTCCCCTCCCCTCTCTCCCTCTCCCTCTTCTCTTCTTTCATATCATATCATCTCCTCTCCTCTCCTCTCCTCTCCTCCTTTCCTCTCCTCTCCTCTCCTCTCCTCTGCTCTCCTCTCCTCTCTCCTCCCCTCTTACCCCCCCTCTCCACTCCTCTCCTCTCCCATCCTCTCCTCTACTCTCCTCTCCCTCTGTCGAGATACCTCAACGTCCTCGTACGGGGCCTGAACAAGGCCAAGTTCGCCATCGGGGGGCTCCTCGGAGAGGACGACCACACCGCGGCTGCCACTCCCAGCGCTGGTTGCAGGAATCTGCGGGGAAAAGCTACAACGATCTCGTCGAAACGTCTTGCAAAACTCTGGTTCGTCATCGTCGTCCTCCTCCTCCCTGTCTTCCGCCCCCGCCCCCCTGCGTTCGCAACCTTTACGTTGTAGCTTTACCTTGTAAGGCATATCCAGACCCTCTGAAGCTCGCGAGTGTAGTATGCGGGTGGCGGGCGCGCCCGATTCTAGTTGCCGATGCTTTTGCTATGCTGCTGCTGCCCCCCTCGCCCTTGTCCTCCTCCCCCCCTCCCTGTCCCTCCTTCCCCTCCAGCCTTCAGCCAGTCCCCCTTCCTCTTTCTCTCTCTCTCTTCTTGTCCTTGTCATCCTCGCCGTCGCCTTCGCCGTCGCCGCCGTTGTCGTCGTCGTCGTCGTCGTCGTCGTCGTCGTCGTCGTCGTCGTCGTCGTGGTCGTCATCGTCGTCATCGTCGTCATCGTCGTCGTCGTCGTCCTATCCAGTGGTGCGACTGGAGCCTCCCAATTCGCTCCTCGTTCCAATCCTGACGCCCATCCTCGCCCCTGCACTGCACCTTCCCCCTCCTCGTTTCTCTGTCTCATTCTCCCTCTCCGCCCCATCCTCCTTTTCCTTCCCTTCCCCATTCCTCCACTTCCTCCTCCTCCTCCTCCTTGTCGCCGTCGTCGTCTTTCGACTCCTCCCTCTTATCCTGTTGCTCCTTCCTACCTTTCGCGGATGTTCGTGATCGTTCTAAACAGTCTTGTGTTTCCTGAGCTTTCACGCGCAGCTTATTCTTAGCGGCCTTGGCGAATGCCCGCGGCCACTGGACACCACGCAGGGTGCCTTCTGCGACGCGGCAGAAAAGACAGGGCACTTGTTGCGTGGCATCCTCACTTTCCCGTTACTGGACAGGAGCGGGAGGAGGATCAGGAGGAGGAGGAGGAGGAGGAGGAGAAGGATGTGGAGGCAATTCGCTTTTCTCCCCTCCTTCCTATGTATCATGCACTGCGCCGCCATTTGTTGGTCAAGGGCGGGTGGGCGGGTGGGCGAGAGCAAGCGGAGACGTCCGGCTTGCATGAGTACGACGCTTCTCTCCCAGGCCACTGTAGAGCGGGGGGGGAAGCATGGCTTGGGCGCCTCCGCCTCCGCAGCAGTCCGGTGCACACGTCCTGCGCCCGCGGCTCCCCGCGCGGCTCCCGGCGCGGGCTCAGTTGGCTTCCGACCGCCCGGAGTTTTTTCCTCTGGCGAGTGTGGGAGTTGGGCCTCGAAGAGCTGTTCCCGAACCTCAAGACTTGGGATGCTCCAGCTCGTCTTGGCTTCGACCACCAGAAAAAGTGTAGAGCACCGAGGGAGTGCCGAAATTGACGTTTTTCACATGTCGGGCCCTGAGGGGCGATACTCGTTCGACACTTTGCTTGCGTGTCGAGCAGACACTGTTTTTCGATCATTTTCTGGGTGCTCGGAAATATTTCTGGGATGCGATGGGAACAACATAACTCAATGCTAGGAACTGGATGGCTCACGGGAAGCTGGCAGTCGTCACGTCGTGCGTGCCCGGTTCCAGCACTGACCACTTGCTCATCTCGAAGCTCTTGCAGCCGCTCCTCAGCGAGGACGCCGTCAGCCACCCAGCCGCCCCGGGCCTCCGCTGATTGTGGGGGGAGTCCCAGGCGATGGTCGTGGTGGAGGGCAAGAACCGCCTCGAGGCTGGCCTGGAGGACAGCTCCCGCGAGATCGCACAGGTGGAGGTCAACTCGAGGCGGAAGGTCGTGCAAAGCAAGGTCACGGGCATGAAATGGGCTGGCCTACAAGCGGTGAGCGACGCCTTCATCCAGAAGGCCATCGGTTTCTCCGACCATAGTCGTCGCCAGTGGCCAGCGCGTGTGAGCGTCGCGACGTTGTACGAGGAGCTCACGGGGGCGACGATCGACGAGATATGGAAGAAGGACGAGGACGGCTCCGCCAAGGCGTTCAGCCGCGTGACCGCGAAGGACACGGACGTGGGCCGCGACCTCAAGTTGGGCGCGATGCTCGCGAGGCGAGGCGTGGGGCTGAAGGCGGCCGACATGCTGGACTGCGAGTGGCGCAGCAACATAAGGAGTAAGGCCATGTCGGCGTATCTGCGAAAACCCTTTCCGGGCTACGCCAGGCACGCGCGGGGGCAGATCGAGATGGTCGGCAAGGAACTCTTCCAGCTCCTCCAGCGCTCGGCGTTGGCCAGCATTGGCTGGTCGGGAGGCTCGCGGCCGCTGGATCATCGGGTGGGCGGCGTGGCTGCCCATGAGATGAGGTCTTGGCCTCTCGCGGCGCCCCAGCCGAGCCGGAGAGGGCGACGCCCAAAAAAGGAGAGGCAATTCCGGAGAAGCCGGCGACGGGCGACGGGGACCCAACGCCAAAGAACTCCTCGAAGGAGTAGCAGAGCGACGTGAAGCGCATGGTGCAGTCGTTGCTGGCGGGCGCAGGCGCCCGAGGCGACGGCAGCGGCGGCAGCATCAGTGGCAGCGGTGGTGGTGGAATGGGCAAACCCGAAGGTCAGCCCAAAGGAGCAGGCAGAAAGGGCTCGGGCGAGGGGTCCAGCATCTGCATGCCGTCGTTCCTCATCGGGTGCACGTGGGAGGACGACGACTGCAACCCCACCAGATGCGGCGTCAACCTGCCACAAGGATGCGGCAAATGCCCGCCTGGGAGGGGCACGACAAGGGGCGGCGCGTTTGTCGCAGGGAGGAGTGCTTCCAGGAGCATCCGTACGTGGCTACGCACACCTGAAGGTCGGGGCCTTTGCCGCGCTGCCGAATTCAAGGCTTGCGCGCGTGAGTTCTGGCGGGCGCTACTGGGGAAGCCGATGGGATGGACGCGTCCATATCTTTGGAGGTGTTTGGCGGCTCGGCGAGTTTGACGGCCATTTCTGGCGAGGCCCCTATTCCCAGCTTGGGGGTCGCAGACTTGAAAATCACTCTGCGTCGCGGGGGCTTGGGTGCCGCTTGATCTGGTGACGAGAGCAGGGCAACTTCAATTGCTGGATATGGTCCAGGATGGCTCGCCAGTGAAGCTTGTATGGCTATCTTGGCCGTGTGGGATATGGGATATGGGCCTCGGCTTCGCGACGCCCCCTCGCCCGGCGAACGCGGCGCCCTCCGCTCGGCCGGAGGGCCCCGCGGGCGCGCGGACATGGGGGGGCGGGCGCGGTTGGTGGCGGCGAACGTCTTGTATGACTTCGGCTTCGAGCTGATCAGCCATCTGGACAATTGTGGAGTCGATTGGATTATCGCGGGCCCCGGCAATTCCTTCCCGCGGTCTTTCCCGGGTTGCGTCGGCCTCTCGGGCAAGGGCGTCGCGCCAGACGCGCTGCGTGTCCTTTGCGAGGTGGGCAGCGCGCGCCCGAAGCGCGCCCTTGCGACGCTCTTCGGCTGCGGGCGTTACGGGGTGCATTCTGCGATGGCTTGCATGCGCGCTGGCCCTGCCGCGCGGGCGCGTCGCCGCGGGCGACCGCTGACCCGGCAAATCTGCGACGTCGTTGTCCAGGATGTCCAGGCGCATTGGGCAGCGCGGCCTCTGGGCCGGGGCAGGTCGGGGCGACCCCCCCCGCCGCGGGGAATGCTTGATCGCCGCTGTGAGGGGCGGTGCCCGGCGGCGCCGGCCCCGCGGCGCCGCTGCGAGCAGCCGTCTCCTGCGCCGCCCAGTCGCGGGCGGACCGCCCCGCCGATGCCGTGGGAAAGTTTGCCGCGCAGAATCGGCCGCCGCGGCAGCGGCGGCCGCCCTTGGCCCCTGTGTGCGCGAGGATTTTCGCATTCGAGCTGAACGCCGAGCAGCGCGCTGCGCTGCGGTCGTACCTCGACGCCCCGTCCACGGACATCCTCATGCGCGACGCGCGCGTTCAGGGCGGGTTGTTCATGGCTGGCTGGCGGGTCTTCGAGGCAGAAGGGGGGGGGGCAGGAGAATCTGAATGCCGTCGCTACCCTGGCAGGCGCTCGCCGTTCCCCAGTGGAGGGGTTGAATGCCGCGCTCGAGATTTGACCAGAGGCCCCCGCGGCATCGGGGTGGCGCGGGGCCAGGCGATCCAGCGGCGGTGGAGATTCGCATGGGAGGTAGACGCTGATGCGTGGGCCCCTGTCGACGCTGCCCCGCGGCCGGGCGTTTCGGCGCGGGTCCACTGGCGCGGGGGGCGGCGCGCGTCGGCCGGGTTGCAGGTTGGAGCTGGCTTCCCCGACCCAGATCTGCGGGGGGGTCTGGAGGCGCTGCGCGTTCGACGCCCGCGAGCACGCCGGCGGGGAGCTGTTCGGGCGGGCGCCGCGGGCGAGGCCGACGTTTCCCAGGGGCGTTGCAGGGCCCCGGGATGACCGAGGAGGTTTTTGAGAGGGCGGTGGCTTGTCACGAGGGCAAGGCCTTGGATCCCTTGGAGACCCAGGGCGAGGAGGTATCCAGGGTGGATGGGGACCTGGGTTCCACGCAGGCGCGCGGGCCTGCTCTGGGCGGCAGTGGCGCGGCCTATCGACGGCTATTCCGAGTTCGGCCGCGCGGCCACTGCCCGCGCGCGTGCTTGCGTGGGCCTCTGGGGCGTGGGTCGCGCGGCTGCCGTCGCGCGCTTCCAGTCATCGCCCTCGCGCCGCGGGTGCGCCGACGTCTGGCTGAGCGCGGGGCTCTGGCGGCGCGGCGCGGTGCATCCAGGGCGCTGGGCATTGGGGGGGGGCCGGGCCAGCGCGCGTGGGCCAGTCGTGTTGAGGATGACTTTCCAGCAGCTGGCCCACTTCATCGCTGGCGCCCATGGCCGTGAGTTGCTCGCGGGGCCCGATGGGGGCTCGAGCTGGAGTGGTGCATTTAGCGGGCGAACACCTCGGGCGCCAGGAGCGAGGTGTTCGTGTTCGGTGGCGTCGCACGCGGCATCCTGGCCTTAAATCTGGCGCGCCCCCCCCAACATGGGGATTTTTGGAGAAAAATAAAACGCGCCCCAAACGCGCGCCAAAAAGGCAGACCAACATTCAAAACATCGCCCCCCCAGACAATTTCGGGATTATCTTTTGATTATATTCGGGGCATTAAAAAAATCGTTGAGAAGCCCCTTGGGATGAGGGGGGACAGGCCCGACTTGATCCTGGCCGTCCTGGTCTACCTCGCGATGAGCCAGTATGCCGACGACCCCCCGCAGCTTGAACCGAGCTTGTTGGCGACCTCGGCAACGGTTTGAATGTCAGCGTGCTCGACCTCTTGGGTGGGGCGCCAATGTGCAGGATGGGGCCGCCCCCTGGTTCCAGAGAGTCGTTCCAGTGCTGGGGGTGCGACTAGATGTCGGTGGCGACGGCCGCGGCGAGATTTCGATTT